TATCTACAGAGGAGGTGGAGTTAAACTGTGGATCCAGTTGATGGTTCCAGGGTGGAGGTGGTGGAGGTGGTGGGGTCTGATTGGATGTTTCAAACTGGCTGAAAATTTAATGCTGATGTGTTCGTGTCTCTCTGGAACTGAATCTTTAATTATTTTTAAAAGTTTTACATGAACTGAACTTATTTAACCTCCTGACCTAAATCCACCACTGGAGCCACAAAATCCAAAACATCTACACATTTTTTTAACAATACAAGTCACAGAGTAAACAATTTATCAGACTTTACCACCCAAAACACGTTTGACAAAAATATAGCTTTTTTTTCTTTTTTTTTGTTTTGTTTGACAGTTTTTACAAGAATAGCCTCTCCCAACAACTTATTCAATATTTCCCAACAAAAACATTTACAAAAGAAGAACCGCTTCATGAAGCTGCAGAAATCAAACAAAGTCTGACAGGAAATMAAGAAGCAGTAGAGTCCAGGCCTCGCGCTCGGTGCCGTGACCGGGGGGCTCGAACAGGAACCAGCTCACTCATCAGAGGGTCCAGGAACCTCACAGCATGAACCTGGCTGAGGGTCTGGTACAGAACCCTTGAGCCTCCAGGGTTCTGGTAGAGGACGTACCGTTGGAGGAASAGCTGTGTGATGTCATCGTTTTTATTTCTTTAGCTGCACGAGTGTCCAACGAGAGCACGCAGATGAACTAACAGAACACGTCCAGAATCTAAATCTGTTTTCACAACAAACCTGAAGCCAAACAGACACCTCAGATTCAGTTTCAAGACTGTTCTTAAACTTTAAAGATGTCACCRTTCATCTCCCGTCTTCAGATTTTTCATACTAGTTTGACATAAATAATTAAATTTTTGTAATTGAGTAAAAATTATTTTAAATTTTTAAGGTATCTCAAAAGATGAGTTTATTCTCAACTTTTGGACCTGATTATGTCATAAAATCAGAAGCACAGTCCTGATGGGCTGAATGTGTTTAGTTAATAAAATCAATTTGACTTTAGAGACTTGGGGCAGCAGCTGGACTGAACCAGGACCAGGGTCTGGATCTGCACTCGTGTCAATCTKCTGCCAGAGGACTGAAGGGGTCATAATATGAGGAAAATGATGAAGGTCCTGAGAACCATATACGCTAGTTTGCRGGGTTGGGGTCAAACTGGTGCACCGGATCACTCTGTGAACGAATGTGGACCACTGGATCTTTGTTTTTGTTGTRGACTGGAGATTTAAACACTGGAGGAGCTGTAGTGAAATGGGCTGGGCTGCTGTTACGACGTTTTTTCTGTAGGGGGCGACTGGGAGCTGGGTGGTTGTTTTTTGCTTTGTCGTCTTTTGGACCGATCTTTTTGGAAGGTTTATCAGGTTTTGGAAGAAGCTTTCTTCTGTCAGAGTTGAAGTCTGGTGTTGGGTTTGGGGTTTCTGAGGACTCCAGTGAGGATTTGGAGGGACTTGGGGGTATTGTTGGCTGGTTGAGACGGCACATAACACCCCACGGCAGAGAGGAGGTTTGTTTCTGTAGCAGATGGATGGTCATCTCGTCTTTAGCATCATTCTGTGACCTGAGCAGAGCCACCTCTTCACGCAGACTGTGAATGAGGTCATTTTGTTTATTTTCAGTCTCGGTGGTTTGAGGCGACTGCACCGGCAGCATGGCTGAGATTTCTGAGGCACCAGATTGGTTTGATGGTTTCGTCTTCCCTGGTGAACAAAGAGAAAGTGTTAGAAAACTGACAACTTGTAAAAGTTTAGAGGAACATTAATTAGTTTTTGTGTAGCTTCATGACTTGTTCTTCAGTTTCCAAAGAGTCTGATGTGTCCTGACTGACCACCATGTTTGTTAATCCTTATTTACTCACTTCCTGTTGACTAAACTCAGTCTGATTGGGTATTTGAGGCATTAAGTATGGTCTGAGTCTAAACTAGCAGGTGAACAGAATCGAAAAGAAAGCCTCCATCGTTTTCTGTTGGACTATACTGTAGAAAGATAAGCTTTTAAAATGTTTAATATAAGACACAGTATCTTCAGCTATAATATTAAGAAATAGAAATCATAATTATTATTTAAACAGTTTATTTTCTGTCCTACATATTTGTTTTCTACTATCTTGTGTCGCTCGTTCATCACTACACTWCAAAAATGCACTGATTTTAAACATTTAGTCTTTTTTAGCTTAAATATGAATTCTGGCTCACCTGATTTAAAACATTTCTTTCTGAACCATATAACAACTACAGCTGCAACTGCAACCACACAAACAGCCACCAGAACACAGACGACAATGATCAAGCTGGAGCACATCTCAGACCCAGAACCTGGAACGACAGGAAACACTGTGTTCAAACATCAGCACATAATATTTATCATCCCAAACTTTCATCTGTTCATTTAAAGGAGTATTTTATTTTAATGTGAGCTAAAATAAAACCTTTGCAGTACCTGGGGTGAGGATCTCTGCAGAAATGTTTTGGTTCGTCATTGGCTGGTGAACTCTGCACACGACCCTGAGATGACAAAAACACCACGAGTACTTTTTACTGGCAGTTTAAATACAAGAAATATTCATATTTAAGATATATAAAAACACAGCTGTGCAGGAATKTGTAGTCTCTCCAGTTGAGAACAGGAAAAAGAAGCTGGTTTAAAAAGGCTTCATTACTCGTTCCTCTTTGCCGCCACCTTGTGGTCAAATGTATGAAGTACAGCTTGAAACAACAAAAGTGTGCAAAAAAGATAAACATATGGTTGTTTATGGTTAATAATGATAAACAGACTTTGAAGACCCTGTCACACTATAACATTTCAGACAACTTATGACAACTTGTGATTTTTTTTTCCCCACTAAATTACTAATAAAAGTCACGTATTTGATTGATTTATTAACAATGCAGTATATACATACCTAAAAGAGGCTTACAGTTGATTTTTTTAAATTCAATTTTCAACGTAAAAGTCTCCAAAATTTTTATTAGTTGTCGAAAACATCATAGTGTGACAGGTAGTGTCGTAGTAAATCCAAGACCAAGTCAAGACTAAAATCAGAGAAGTAAATAAATAAATAAAATGAAAACTAATTCCTTAAAACATAGAGTATTCTGTACACATGCATCCAACTTAATATGTAGAGCTAATACTGACATAACCTCTGTGTGARGGTAGAGGAAAGAGCCAGATGGCTAACATTAGCTAAYAATAGTGACARTAAAAGTTTGACGTAGTTCCCATCGCCTCTGAAARTGAAACATCAGAATTTACAATTTGTTGTAYGCTTTTTTCTGGATGTTGTTACAAATACAGTCCTTACAGTTTATGTAGCCAAACTGAATTACTAAAGATTTTGCAGACATCTTCTCCTGCTCCCAGACAACCACTGCTCACTTTCATGGAGAGCCAAGAGCGAGAAGGTGGGAATGGGTGACATGGCTAACAAAAAGACAAATATTAAATTGGTCAGGTTCGGATATGAATCAGTGCATTTTACATCGAATGAAAGCAAAGATGTAAACAAATAAATTTGACAATAATCTGGCTATTTAGTGACAGCTGTGGTCTTGACTGGTCATGAAATAAAATCCACAGTCCTCGATGTCCGAGACAAGACCATCAAAAAGTGGTCTTAAGACCAAGACTGTGAAAGTGCAAACTGTTAAACTAAACACAAAATCAGACAGATGATTCACGTCCTCATAAAGATTTGAACGAGAAACCAAAGCAGTGACGTGACTCCAACACTTGTGAAACTTCAGCCATCACTGGTCACGTTACTTTTACCAAACAAAGCTCCGACACAGAGCTTCTGAAACACTGGGTTGTTTATTTGAATATATTCAGCTTCAAACTGCTCTTTACTAACAAACACTGTAGAGAAACCACAGTCCTTTTAGTTTAGATTCTGCTCTGTCAGCTCACCAGACCCGCCCAACTCAACCTTCTCTAAAGTGAAACTGTTTTAACAACGAGAGAAAGTTTTACCTGAGCAGAACCTTTTCACAGATCCCCACTTCAAAATGTCTGAACTACTCCTTTAAAGGGATCCCCGATTAGTTGTAACATTAGACTTTATTTAATAAACATATATTTTAACTGTAAAATAAAGACTGTAAAAA